CCTTCTTAAATACAATGACAACCTTCTCAAATAAGCATCTTTGCCCGAGAGAACTTTCCAGGCACATGCGCCGAAACCTAGGACAACCCAGAAGCAAAATCAAAACCATTTCAGCTGCACAGCACCGCAGAATGTGTGCAGTTTGAGAAACAAGGATTTTTTTCCTCCACAACCTTTTACTCTTCTGCCCAAATTAATCAGCCTCTGCTGCTCTTGTATAATGAGTATCGTATGACTCATCATCTCTGCCTGTAAAATGGAAATGGGAGATACTTCTACCCAATAAAATGTCATAGAACTAACCAGCAAAATTATATATATTTAAAAAAAAAAGCCAGGGCTTTATGCTGTCCAGGGTTATGAATCATTTATTTAATGTGTCAATTGCTACAAGAATAAACTTTTCTAAATGTAAAACCTCCTCAGAAATCTTCAACTACTATTCAAGAAAAAACATCTTAGAAAGTTTCTGAAAAGTATTTAAAGGAAAATCATTTTTAACTGAATCATATTCTAGGCACACTGAATAAATTCTCTTTAGAGAACTCCTAGTTTTTTTTTTTAATAAATGACCTATAAAAGTACACTCAGCATTAATCAGTAAATCTTCATTCCTTATTTTTAAAATTCTTAAGACATGCCATTTTTCTTAAATCAAATGAGGAGGTATTCGCAAGCCAATGGACAACGGAATTAACTAAGAAGACATTATAAAACAGCAAGGGCAACTAGCATTTTGCCAAGCATTCTGCCTGAGAGCCACTCGTATCATCTCATTTTGACCTGACCACTTGGAGGTGAGCTCCATTAGCCCATTTAACACATGAAGAAACTGAGGCTCTGGGTGGTCATGTTTCCAGTACTTGGTGGAGCCAGGATCCAAACCCGGATCTTTCTCTATAGAGCCTGTGCCTTTACCAGATCACACTTACATTTCTCACTCTTCAAATGCACGCAGTCCCAGAAGTAACACACCTTCCTTGCGTTTCTGAGAGTTTTAGGAAGTACTGAATTACAAGGACTAAGCAGACATTTGTGTGGGCTAATTTCTTATTTTCTGATTTTCCTGAATCAGTTCAGGCTGAATTCATACTACTTACGAGGAGAAGTCCTGAGGCAGAGGAGAGAGGGGAAGATAAGCCAGTCATAAACAATTTCAAGAGATCCAATTCATCAAGGAAGCAAAGTATTAAATAAACCACTTCAGCAAAACGCTTGTCAATAAACCTTGGTGTCTCGGTATCAGCCTGAAGGAGGGGAAGCCCTCCAGCCCATCTGCCTTCCTGCCACTTACCCTGGATGATCTTGGTTCCCTCACGTGTGACACGTGTGTTCTCCTGGGACTCTTTGTAGCGATTAAGTGATAAAACTATATGCAAAGGGGATACTTATTTGCTAAATAGTAGGCAATAACAAATAATAAAATTATTTTATTTCATGAAAATGGGAGGTAGGTCTCCAAATTAAACATTCCTGATAGAATCCCAACAAGGACTTTAATTTATCTACAAGAATTGTAAAATAACCTTTCTTTTTAAAAGGCTGTATCCATTCTCCCTACTTTTTACCAATCCTGGCTGTTATCCTGAAAATCTATCCCCAGAAATTGGCATCCATCCCCATATTTAAATCCTTAAAGTTTGAAATTATGATGAAGCTTGGGCACATAAAGATTCACAGCATAATTCACAGAATAAACAAAGACCACAGGATCAGGGCCACCTCCAGAAACTGTGAGCTCAGGACAGGCTCCATACTTCATAAAATCTGAAGCATGCTGTTTGAACAGAAAGAAAATTGAATGTGATCAAGGAGGCTGACACAGAGCACTGGCAGGCTCAAGAGACGACTCCTTCACCACTCGTCTGACTTAAGTCATCTAACAGTTATCAGTTGATCTCTAACTAAAAGTAAAACTGGGATACGGTTGGAAAGTAACATTTTTTCCTACAATATAAACATACTGTCAACTAAAAATTGGCACTTGTCATCTGCCTCTGATTTGATTAAGTCATGAGCCACTGCAGCTGCTGACCTTCCACGCCCTCTGAAAGTAGTTCAGGGTGGAGATCAGGAATGGGGCGCTCTGTGCTCTGGGAAAATGGGCAGAAAAGCCTTCAGATAGTTAGACAATTTCAGGAAATTTTAAGAGCCCAAATTCTTGCATCTCCTCCAATCTAGAAAAGCACTAAAATCATTAACAGAGACACCTGCTCCTCGACTAACAGCAGCCTCTGCCTTAACGTATACTTGAATGCACGTCCTCCTTCAATGAAATCTCATATAATGCTGAGCTCCCCCTCCCCTTCAGAGCAGTTCCTCCGAGCTCTCTGAGATGCTGACACCTGGGATCTTGTCTTCATTTTGCCCAAGGTAAAACTTAACCCACAACTCTCACGTTGTGTGGTTTATTGACAGTACCACAAAAATTAAGCTTACATACTTGAACTCATAGTAAACATTCAGTATCAAACATTTCTTGACTTACATTACTTTCTAAAAGTAAATAATTATTCCATTTCTTAAATATAGCATCTTTAAATAGAAATTAGCAGATATTTGTGAATCTTAGGAAAATATATTCTGGAAAAACTTTTTAGCTAATTAATAAAAAAGCTATTGTGTGGTGTTATAGAAATTCAGAAGTGGAAAAGAATAGTATTGTAACTCAAGTTCTTGTTTTAATTGCAGGGATCCTGAGGCCTCAAAAGACATATAAATTTTCCTGATTTTATAAACTGTCCTTTAACAGAAAGCCTAGAACTAAGATCCTGATCTTTGAGAGAAAAAGACTTGCTCTGCTGGTTTAGGGTGAACTTTATGAAAATGGGTCGTGAGAGAGAACCAGAATGCAGGGGCCTGGGCGAGGCAGCGGAGGAAAGGATGGTCTCACCTGGTCGTGGGTGAGAAATAGTCTCCCACAGTGCAGGTGTGATGGGCATCCCTCAAGTGCCTGAAAACTGCTATTTAGTACACCTGCCACCAAAACACACACAAGCTGTTTAGCTAGAAGGCTGAGCAGGAGGCTTTCTCAGTGACACAACAAGCTATTTTCACGTTAACTCTACAACTACAGGAAGAGAAAGAATAGAAAGCTGATATTAATTATTAATAATTTACACCAAGAACCAAGGAATTTCCAGGAGAAATATAAAGACTTGTTGGAAGTTTCATTATGTGAACATACTACCAATTCAGTTGTCTTAAAAGTTGTTCTATAAAATATATTGTCCTTTGCTGTTCCAAATCACATTTAAAGGAAGTAATGTTTCTTAAGGGTGTTTCTGGAATTTTCTTCTATTTCCTAACACCAAATCTCAGAGCTTTAAAGAAATGGAGGGTTGGAATTTCGTCCACTCTTCTCTAGGCAACTTGCTGTTCCTTCAAAGAACAAGGGGGGAATCACACAGAAAAGCATTTGAGCATCTGGCTGCTTACATTTCCTCCTGAAGTCTTGGAAAATAACGCGGAAATGAACAGCAGGACAGAAACCTGGCGGGAGGGTCACTGGCTACAAGGTGAGAATAACTGTTCTCCGACGTGCTCTGGTAGCCACTAGTTTAAATGAACTGAGCAATTGTTCCAGAATACACGCAGCTCTACGTGAAAATCTCAACTGTTACCAACCACTCAGTGCAGCCTGAAGCAATGGACAGACTGCAGAGGCCCCCGGCAGCTCATCGTGGTGTCTCACACCACCTGCAGGATGAGGGGTGCCTCCCCGACCCCACCGTCCCCTCCCCTCGAAGGAGATGGCTGGTCCTGGGTTGAGCTTACCTCATAGCAAGCTGTCTCTCAGCCCTCTGTCTAAAGCAAGATAAAAGCAGGGAAGCTACCTGAGACTTTACAGAACCATCCCAAAAGGGAACTGAAGCACCTTTCTTCCCTCCTATCTGCTGCCTGGAATGTGGACCTGATGGCTGACCCACAGGCAGCCACTTTGGGCCATCAGGTTGATGGGCTAAAGATAACAGGCAACTTGTTCTCTGACCCAGGGGCCATCATGCAAACCAGCCCTGGGCTACCGATTGCTTGACTTCTTTATGTAAGAGGGAAATACAGTTTTAGCATGTTTAAGCCACTGCTGTTATCTGGGGAACTAGGTGTTTTACATTGCCATGGTAAGACATAATAATAAAGTTAAATATTCACCAAAAACTACTTACCAAATAGGTAATAAATGATAAA